CCGGTGCCGCGGGCGGGCCCCCCGGTTCGCGCGTTCCCCCGAGCTCGCGAGCACGTTTAGCACGGTTGGCGATGCGCGATGCGCACTTCGGCGAAGGCAAGCACGCGCCCAGAGGACATGCGACGGCCGCGGGAGAATCTGAGTTTCATTCGCCCGTGGAGGGTTGCACATCGCGCAGCGAGACTCCCCGACTTGGCGGCCGCGCACGGATCCCCAGAAGGAGGAGTTCGCGGGGGGCGCTTGCGAATGAAAGTTTGACCTACGCAGTTTCGATGACGATGGCGCACTGGCGAGGGATGAGCTGATTGGTGATAGTGACTTAATTAGCAGACTCAGCGCGTCAGTCCTTGTCCTCTCCGAGCGCGGCCATGAGACAGCTGCCCAACAGGGACAGGGGCGAACGCGCGAAATGGCTGGCGGACAACATGGGCGAGTCAGCTATTCAAGGCGAGGTATGTGTCTTGGATGAGAGGCGTAGTTTTGCCCCCAAGCTCGCGCGGGGAAGCCTCCTGTGTAAAAACGAAGCGCCAGTCTTGGAGCGCGTCATCTCCGTTGGTCATGCCCACCATGCAGGTGGGCAAAATTCTGAGGAATGGGCGGCGCGTTGGGCGGGGGCCCGAGCCTTGGTCACGGAATGCCAGCCATCCACGCCGCTGGTGGGCGCGAACGCGAGCACGGGCAGCAATGGTTCAGCGGGTTGGCATGGGGGGGCTTGGGAAGAGAGTATTCGGGCAGGCGCGGAGTTGCATCGGCTGGTGACCGAAGCAATCTTGCATCGGGGGGGCGCCTTGCTGGGCCGCGAGATTGGGCGCGAGCGCGATCGGTGCGAGGAAGAGGAACCACGGGCGCGGCGCAGACCGGGCTACGCTTGTCTTGATGATCAGTTTTTTGTTTGGTGATGCTGCGCGGGGGCGCGGACCGTCGGCCCGCCCGACGCGCTCGGGCCATCTACCCGCGTTCGCGAAGGCCCCGGCGCGCAAAGTCCAGGGAAAGTGGCGGATGACGCAGGAAGACTCGGCATCGACGCGCCGAGGTCCAAGGAGACAGAGGCCAAGTGTCGGCTGCCACTCGCCCGTCATCCGCCGGCGCCCCAGGCGGGCCCCGCGCTCGCGCGTTCCCCCGAGCTCGCGAGCACGTTGAGCACGGCTGGCGATGCGCTTTTCGGCGAAGGCAAGCTCGCGCCCAGAGGACATGCGACGGCCGCGGGAAAATCTGAGTTTCATTCGCCCGTGGAGTGTTGCACATCGCGCAGCGAGACTCCCCGATTTGGCGGCCGCGCACGGATCCCCAGAAGGAGGAGTTCGCGGGGGGCGCTTGCGAATGAAAGTTTGACCTACGCAATTTCGATGACGATGGCGCCTTGGCGAGGGGTGAGCTGATTGGTGACAGTGACTAAATTAACAGACTCATCGCGTCAGTCCTTGTCCTCTCCGAGCGCGGCCATGAGACAGCTGCCCAACAGGGACAGGGGTGAACGCGCGAAATGGCTGGCGGACAACATGGGCGAGTCAGCAAGGAGAGGGGAGGACCTCATCACCTAGCCCTTAGGCCCGGGATGATGGGGGGGGCAAGTCACAGACATTCGCGCCCCCGCACATGCTGCCATACAAACTGCATCAACACGGACAGTCCGTGCGCGACGTGGAAAATTTGGGCAGGGTAATCATGCGCCGCTTCGCCGAGATGGATCCGAGCCGCAGGGCTCAAACGGCCTCGCCGAACGCAACGACGACAGCGAGTGCACCGGGAGAGATCAGATCTGCGACATTGTCACAGTGGAAAACACCCCATCCTTGGATTTGTCGACGGAGCATTTTTGCGAAGCTGCCATGGCGATGGGCTGCGGCGGCAGCGGGAGCGCCGGGCGGCGCATTCGAAGTGGCGCCGCAGGGAGCTGGGCGACTGGCGTATCCATCCTTTGCGAAGATTGCGAGCCACCATCAGGAGGTAATCGCAGCCGCGGGTGGCAGGGCCACGGCGGCTCACAAATGCAACGGCAGGCCAGAACCAATGACGGGTTTGCGCCTTACGCTAGTGAGTGCCAACGTCAGCTATCAATGCGATGCACATGCGTGGGCCTGTCTGGGGGAAACGTTGAGACGGCTGCATAGTGACGAGATTAGAGAGCCGGTCACCCCGACGCGTTCGGATGAGGAGGAAGTCGGATACATGTTGGGACGTTTAGAGTTGCCAGCGTTGGTCGTGGAAAATTGCTGAAGGCAGTTGCGGCCCACCCTGGTCCCCTGCAGGACAAGATCGACCAGCGCATGCTCGGCCAGATCGCAGAAGCACACGGGCGCCCTCGGTTCAAAGCCCGAGGGCGCGAGGCGCCGGCGGTGCCGGTGGGAGGCTGCGAACGAGGAAAACGGAGATCACGGACGCGACGTGCTCAGGCGAGATGGGTTTCACGACCCAGAAGGCATCGGTGGACGGACCCTAACGGAGTCGTTCGAGTAGATGACCCTAAGGAATCTGCGGAATCAATTAGGATTCCGCAGATTCACATGTTTGCGAGTTGCTGGAAAATGGATATCATCACCCCCTCACGGTGCTGGGCCCCCTCTGGGCGGGCCCGGCACGCGGCAGAACTCGGCGCTGGACGACACTCGTTGGTTGAGACAATGAGCTGGAGAGCAAGAGGTGCCAGACCCAGACGCAAACCTGCAAACCCTAATCGGTCCTGCAACAAAGAGCCGCGTACACTCATGAACCTGAGACGGTTAGCTGGGACGCGCTGCGAAGCCGGCGAGAACGCGCGCAACCGAGTCAAGATGTAAATGCGGTCCTTGGCACTCGATGCAAATGACCACGTTGTCATGGACGCACCTTTCTGGAGGCAACGCAAACCAGTGAAGGGATGTGTTTGTTACGCTTGCGGGAACGTTAGAACCGGCAAAAATTGGATTTGCATACATACATCGATCGATTCATCGTGGAACTGGCACGGGAGCCCAGAGGATGGTGAGTGGGGCGTCTCGTGAGGTTCGTGCGCGGCAGGTCGTGGCCAGACTGCGGCTTGCCAAGCACTTCGAAGCATTTGGGAGGCGCTTGAAGGCGCCGGAAATGTTCAGGCAACCGCTGGGCACCCAGGAGGACGCGCACATGAGGGGGGCGGACGTGAGGGAGGCGGCCGAGTTCAGGCCGTCGGGCTGGGCTCCGACCAAGGCCCTGCGGCCAGCGGGGCCGACTGGGGAGGCGCCGCTTGCGCCTGCCCGGTGAAGCTTGACAACGTCACCGGTTTCACCTCGTGAGCTTCCCACCCCACCCCTGAGGCTGTCCGTCCCCTGTCCCTGCCTCCTTTGCTCCAATCGCATCCACACCATTGTATTCGAATTCTAGCTGAAGCCAGCGAGGCCCGTCTCTGCATAGAGGTGGTCGAGACGATTATTGGCCGAGCTGGTTCGCAGATCACTGTGCGTGCTGTTGCCGATCTCACTTCCAAGAGAGTCACCTCCTGGGCTGATCGAATTAGGAGGGGCCTGGTTCTGGCTTCTCCTGGACCCTCCCGTTGGTGGAAGAGCGGAAAGATGGAAGCTTTGGAATGAAATGGCTCCGCCCTGGCCCTGTCCAGTGGGGCCTCTGGGGGGTTCGTCCCAGGGAGCGCTCCAGGTGAGAGCTGGACAACCAGATCTCAATGCAATGCATCTATTCTCCCAGTTCCTTATAGAAGGAGCCAGTCATGCTCGCAACTTCCCCTAATACAGACGCGCAAACGACGGACACCTGGCGATTTCCAGAGGACCAATGGTTGCAAGCATCGGTTGGACTTGGATAGTGATGGGGTCAATGCCTGATGAGCGTTTCGACAGCGAGTCCGAGAGTTCGGGTGCAGCGTGGGCGAGTCTCCGGGACACTGTCTCAAGAATTGGAGAGGCGCGGCATAGCACGGCCCACTACAGAAGGTGCTGGAGGAGCTAGCCGCCATCAGATTCGGGATTCGAGCGTCGGCCCTCGCTTCCAAATCGTCCAGACGAGGCGCGTGTCGTTACAGAACTTTACAGCTGCAGCCAGGTGGGCTGCGCTGAAATGGACCAGAGTGCAGAGGTGGAGAAGGGGCGAAGGAGGGGAAGGACGTTGGGTCGGGCAGCCTGGGGGGTGGAACCAGGGGCAGTGGATCAGGAGGAATGAAGGGCAGGATTGGAGCGAGGCGGGATGAGGGCACAGAAGGAGGAGGAGGAGGAGGAGGAGGAGGGGGAGGAGGAGGAGGAGGAGGAGGAGGAGGAGGAGGAGGAGGAGGAGGAGGAGGATGACGGGAAGGAGGAGGAAAAGGAGGAGGAGGAGGAGGACCAAGGAGGGAGGAGGAGGAGGAGGAGGAGGAGGAGGAGGAGGAGGAGGAGAGGAAGAGGGGGAGGAGGGGGGAGGAGGAGGAGGAGGAGGAGGAGGAGGAGGAGGAGGGAGAGGACGAGGAGGAGGAGGAGGAGGAGGAGGTTTGCGACAAGTGACTGGATGGAGCAGTTGAAACGGCAGTTTTTTGGAGGATGGGGCGGAGCAGGGGGAGGCGAGGAGCAGTAGGATGGGGAACGTGTCACTGTAACGTCGGTGTACTCTCCCTCCTTCGATCTTCGAGCCTCGAGCCTCGAGCTTGCCCGCCGGAAGCCCAGAGAGCGGCCGTGGTCACGAGGGCGTACCCCGAGGTCCAGACAGGTTCGAGATCGTCCACGAAGCCAGACTGGGGGGCCCCAAACGGTGCGGTGACCCGTCCGTGTGGTGAGTCAAAGGGAATTCGGGGCGGGATGATCGCACGGTTCGGGGACTCGGGTCGCTCACCGAGGATGCCTTGGGCGATTGAGGCCCCCGGGGTCCCAACACGGAGCGGTGGCTGACCGTGCGGTGGGATTTTTGTTGGGATTGCGACGTCACCGCACGGTCTGTCACCGCGCCGTCCTGGGGCGCCCTACTGGCCCTCGATCCTCGAACCCCGATCCCTGGACCTGCTCGTCCTCCGATGCGTGGTGTCGCTGCGCCCGGCCCCGCCTGGCGGGCGCCCGCGCTTGGCGGAGGAGAGACCCTGGCCTGCTGCCAGTGGCAGGACGACGGCTCCGTGCACCTGGACCGCCCCGCTGCCGTCACGGGCACGAGGAGGCCCTCCGCATCCCGCACCCCCCTTCATCGCCCCCACGCCTCCATCTCCCTGCATGCGGACTGCGGCTGCACTGTATCCATCCTGTATCGCCCTCTATCGTCCATCCCCTTCTCCGATCATCCCTGGCTCCCGCCCTCCCTCCCTTTTCCTGCATGCTGAATGCGCGTGATTTTTAGAGTCGCGGGTTCGCTTGATATTCGCACGCAGCGCGCGATCGCCGTAAAGCTTAACATTGCCAACATGATCATGGACCATTGGGCTGTGGTATTTGCGGGTGTGGCGCCGCGGTCATGTTTTTTCAAAATGTATGTGAACCAGTTGTCTGTCTGGCGGGGCTAGGACCAGGATGGCTCGTTCCAGAGCGTTTCGGTACGCTCTAAGAGCGTTTTGGAGCGCTCTGGAACGGCTGCGGAGCCCGATATGTCCTCCAGAGCCCCATGGATCGCAGAGATCCCCGATTTGTCTTGGTTCGATGTTGTCCCAGTCATGTCCTCATCTCAGCCTGGATTGATGGCGGCCCCAGCCCGAACACACACACACACACACATACACACACACACGCACACATACATACACACACACACACACACACACGCACGCACGCACGCACGCACGCACGCACACACACAACACAACACAACACAACACAACACAACACAACACAACACAACACAACACAACACAACACAACACAACACAACACAACACAACACAACACAACACAACACAACACAACACAACACAACACACACACACGCACACACACACACACTTTTTCGTTGGCGGCGAGGCTGAGGTAGCAGCACCAGCGAGCAGACGGGGGGCGCCGTTGTAGCGAATTGGCCAGCATGCACGAGCGGAAAACAGGACAGGGCGGGCGGCCGCAGAGAGGGGGGGGTCTCATCCCTGTGTGAGTTGGCGCGGACAGCCCCGCCGGCGTGGACCGTGGCAGCTGCCAGGCCGCGGCACTGCTGCACCCACGGGCGCAGGCGCGGCCCGGTACGGGTGCTGCAGGTGAACGGAACAGCGAAGCCATCGACGAAGATCCTCAGGCGCACGGTGGACGGCGGGGGCCGCGCGCCGCCCAGGTGGGAGGCACGGCAAGGTTCGGCACGTGCGTGTGCGTTCAGGTTGGACTGCAGCTGGCAAAATGCCGAGTCAGCGCAGGGGGGACAGGCGGCAAGACCAGGCCCAGGATCCCGAAGGTGTCGGGAAGCTGCCAGTGCCCCGCGAGCGCCATGGCGGCGCGCGAGGGAGGGGGGGAGGGGCGGGAGGACAAGGAGGCAGGGGGAGGGCGGGTGGAGGAGCGCCCCTCCTGCGGGGATGATCCCGCAGGCGGGGCGGCAGCGCCGGCGCCGGCGCCGGCGGCCAGCGGCGGTGTGTCCGGGCACTGCGCTGCTGCGGGCGCCTGCGCTGCACCGCGTGCTACGAGCTGGGCCGCGCCCCGGCTGCCAGTTGAGGGCCGGCGAAAGCCAAAGCGGTGGCCGAGGCCGCGAGCTGGGCGCAGTCGGGGTGGACCGCGCAGAGCCAGCCGGGGGGCACCGAACCTAATCGGTGCAAGGTCGGCGAAAGACACGAGCAGCGGAGAGCCCGCACGCTGCCGGGGTGGACAGCGTGCGGTCACTTCGTCAGCAAACCAAAACTGTGGCCGGGGTCGAGAGGCCCCCACGGCTGGGAGGGGTGGAGGCCAGGTCAGGAGCACCTACTCGGTGCAAGGACTGTTGTACAGAGGCGATCGAGGCCGCAGAGGCCGCATGCTGCTGGGGTGGGCGGCGCGCGGCGGGGCACAGGAGGAGAAAGGCGTCGGGAGATAGAGCCAAAGACGAGTACCACGCGCCGCCGGGCTCGTTGGCGCGCGGTACAAGGGCCGCCAGGCCGCCAGGCGCCTCAGAGGTCAACGGAGTCGATGTGGGGGCGGTCCTGGGGCACCAGGTGACTTCTGCGGTTGCTCGCACAGGGTGCGGGGCCGGGTCGGCGCGGGAGAAGCGCAGTGCTGACGGTGTGGCGAAGGGTTGGCGTGGTCCGGGGGGGCCGCTGCATTTGGGAGCCATCCGGATTATTGTGGCCCAGATCCAGAGGGAAGGCAGGCCCGACGTGTCGGGAAGGCGCTGCTTGGATGGGTCGTTGTCGGGCCAGGAGGGGTCTGCGCGCCTCTTGCGCTCTCATTTGCCTTGGCCTTTGCTTTTTCCGAGTGCGTCGTGTCCCTTCCACTTGCCCTTGCCCTTGCCACGTTGCTGCTCGTTGCGCTGCAACTGCCTCTCCCATGCAGCCCGCCAATCTACGCGGAGACCCCGGGTTCTGCAGACACTGCGGATGTCGAAGTCTTCTTCTCGCAGCTGGATCAGTAGGTCCTGGCAGAAAGCGTCGTGCTCGTCAGGGTCGTAGGTGCCCCTTCCGGGACGCTGGCCCCTGGTGTCGCAGAGTTCGTTTCTGCCTTTGCAAGCGTGGTTGCACAGTCCTTCTTCAGCATATTGACTACTTCAGGCCAGGTTTCCTGGCGTTTGGCCTTATAGTTCTATCCCTGGTGCCAGGTGATGCCGGCGATTCTTGATGTAGAGCGTGTCGTGGGGGTCGGGGTGGCGGGCATATCCAGGGTCTGTGAGGGGGGATTCTGTGCCGTGGAGGTGCTTCAAGGTTGGCTCGATTGGGGGGCGCAGCCGATGAGGAGCCCCCCTCCTCCCCCTCGATAGTTGGACTCTGGGAAGGCTACTGCCGTCTCATTCTGCTGGGTGCGGCCGTGCCCCGGCTCTGACGTCCTTGGTGTCCTACGTGCCTGGCCTTCGTCAGGTTCGTCCCCTGTGTCCCTTTCCGCGCCCTGCTCGGTGCGGCGATCCGTCTTCCACAGTGATTTCTGCGTCCGTGTCGCGGGTATGCGCTTTCACCAGAGGGCAGGCTGCTGTGCACGCTCGGAGTCAGGGCCGCTGGCCCGGGCCTGGGCGTGGTGGTCAGGGAGAGGCTCGTTGCTGGGGCTTTCTTCCAGGTCCTGTCCCTCGGCCTCCGCGCCCCCGAAGTCGACCTCAGAGACTGCACGCGGTGGCGATGGGGTGGGTGGCCGGTCAGGCTCGGCCTGACGGGGGGCGGGAGGAGCGTATGGGTATATTTCGGCGCCGTCTCTGGTATAATCTGCACCGCGTCAGTAGGTCGTGCGTTCCACAGGTCGACCAGGCAGGGCGCACAGTACCATGTAGCGTTCCAGTGCATGCCCGTTCGTTGAATGGCGGAAGGCCGTGGCAGGGAGATCCGTCGTCGGCTTCGCCAGGGCGGAAGATGAACATGCCCAGCGGCCACATGCGGGACGGGGGACTGGACCCCTCTCCCCAACGCCACCAGAACCCACGCCGCCGGACCCCTCCCCTCCACCTACCCCGGCAGAGCCACCCTGGCGAGTTGAACCCCCCCCTCTTCGCCCATTTTCCCCTGTCCACAGGCGGGATGGGGGACCGGACCTCCCCCCCCCCCCCCTTCCCACGCCACCGGAACCTACGCCACTGGAACCCCCCCGTCCCCTCCCCCTACCCTGGCAGAGCCACCCCGGTCACCCCCTCCATCTTAAACTCACACGCCAGATCGGCGGATTACGAGGCTTGTCCAGGCGGAGGATTGGCTACGAACTCATAGGTGGGGCCCCCACTCATTCTTTTGGCACCTCATGGCTGTCAAGGCCGAGATGAAGAGTATGTCATGTGTACCTCATTCCCTCGTTCGGTTCCAACCCAAACTACATGCTGCCCTGCGTCACGTAACTAAGCGTTCTTGCATGGGGGGCCTCATTTATTCGCGCATTTGGAAGTTTAGCAGGGGCCTTTGTAAGCAAGAAACTCATTTCACTGGCCGGAGGATGCATGCAGTCGCCAAGTACGCGCCTCCGTGCGTCTTCGCGTCCGTCCTGCCAGGTATTCTACCCCAATTCGGTCTTGTCGGTGATTTGGGAAGGTGGGCGGTGACAGGATGATTCGTTGTCCTCAATGTCCGCGTCTACTCCCTGAATGACTTCCTCTCTCTATCTTCTTTCTGTAGGCTGGATTTCTGGGGATGCATCTAGCATGTTCACTGTTGGTGCCTGGGGTGCTATAGAAACTTGTGAGGTCATCAGCATGGCCCTCGGTATAGATATGTTGCTTCGATTTGTTACAGGCCGAGTTCGATCGTTGTTCTCGTCAGGGTTCGTGCGAGGGCAGTGGCCCGCCGCAGCCGCCATCCTCGTGCTGCAGTTCAAGGAGCTCGGGACTTCCCTTCTCCCCCCTTTGCTGAGTGGGACTCCTCTTCTTCTTTCCCCTGAGAGCTCGCATTGCTTCCTCCCCCTTGCTCTTCCAACATCCTCCCCGTTCCGTGCGTCCCCCACCGTCACTCCCCTCAGATTCGCTATCTCGCCCGAGATTTGCTCACAACGCGCGACCGTCGCACTTCTCAACGTCCAACCCCCCCCCGCCTCCGCCGACTTCCTCAGCCTCCCCGCACGGGGTGCGCCTTCTCTGAAGCAAGCCGGCCCGAGGCAGTGGTTGGTCATCCGCGGCCGGGAGGGCGGCCACAGCCTGCGCGGGGCTCGGCTTTCGCCGGCGCGCGCGCGCGAGCCTGGGCCGGGCCATGGCCGGTGGCCGTCTGCCGGATGGGCGAGAAGTCCGGACGCTAGAAACAGGCACAAAAATTGGCAGCGCTTCCGGCCCATTTTGAGCACGACTTGCTGTCGGTGTCGCCGCGGACGTTGTCCATTTGAAACAGAGGGCCGCCCACCAACAGCGGCCGCTGTTGGTTTTGGAAAGCATTCATTCTTGGGCGCTGTGCCCATTTTTCCGCGCCCTTTCCGGGCGTCAAAAAGGAGAAGGCACGACAACGATGCGCCCCAAGATCTCCAAGAATTCCATGAATTTCCAAGGCCTCCTGCTGTTCCGTAAGGGCTCCAGGCGCGAGGTCCGCCAGTCACTTCGGACCTCCTGGAGGAACGCATCCTGAGCCCCTCGGGCCATGGCATCATTCTCTTTGCGGCGAGCCTGGGGGGGAATGCACAGGGGGCGGGCCCTCTCAGCCTGTGCGGAAGTCACCCAGCCTTTTCAGAAGTGCTCTGTAAGCCTCCTCCGAGGACAGGGGGCGGCTTCCCACAAGGCCGGGGAGGGCTTCCGAGAAGCCCCGCGGCCTTCTAAGGTGGCCTGGCCCCTCGGACCTCGTCCTGGTTCGAGCACCGCGCCGCGGCTGGACCTCCGCGGCCGTCGTCGGCGGTGCGCTGCGCCGCTCGGCTGCGCGGGCGGCGCCGCGCTCACCACGAGGGACGCGTCCGGTTCGCCCTGTCCAGGGCCTCCCTAAATGCGACACGAATCCCGACAGGAGGTCTCTTCGTCGGCCTCTGAGGGCACCCGCCGGGCCTCGGGCCGTCGAAGAGGGACTCGGAATGCAGAGCCGGTCCCGGAGAATGGGTCGAGACATTCGGGGATCCACGCTATGAAAAGCATTGCGTCGACAGTCAGGTTCCCGGGGCCCCCTCCCTGCCTGGCGAACTATGGAGAGTTCGACGAGCTATTGGTTTTGAATTGCACTCCGATGTGCATCCTGAAACATGCATTTCAACTTGGATCATGTCTGGATCACGCCAGGAACGCATCTGTTTGACGGACCCTTTGGCAAGTGCACCACCTCCAAGCGGTGTCCCGTGACAGACGCATCTTGCCTTTGCAAAGGTTTCATCGTGCAGAGGGTCGCTGGTTCATTTCGCTGGGCATAACATCTCTGGCCCCGGGGCCGTCATAGAACGACTCGGGATGAAAGGCCGATCCGGGGGGACGCCACAGACCCATGCGGTTTCTGCCGGGGCCTTTCTTCCTCCGTGCCAGGGCATGGGGCGGACCGAGGGGGTCGGCATCCGACGGCAGGCGTGCTCTTGGAACCCCCCCGTGGGGTCTTCGCAGAAGCGTCTAAGACGGGGCGTCGCCCCAGGCCTCCCCTTCCCCAGCCCCCGTTAGGGCCGTGGAGGGGAGGAGCTCGGGCTGGGCTCCCGCCATGACCGCGGCCTTGGCCTCGGCGCTGGCTCTGGCCCCAGCTGCGGCTGGAGCCGTGGCCTTCGCCGTAGCCTCGGCCCTGTTTCTGTCGAAGGCCTCAGCTTTGGTCTTAGCTCTGGCCTCGGCGCCCGCCTTTGTGGCCTCGGCGGTTTGGGGACATGGCGGGGGGGAGAGCAGAGGGATGTGTTCCCCACAACCGAAGTGTTTTTTTTTTTCTCTGGACACCCCGCGCAGGAACAGGAACAGGAACACCCACTCACTCAGTCACTCACACACAGTCACTCACTCACTCAGACACTCACTCAATCACTCACTCATTATCATCAACATCGTCATTGTCAACACCGCGTCACCAGCACTCGTCATCATCAGCACTCATCATCATCACCGCTCATCATCATCATCATCATCATCATCATCAGCTTCATCATCACCAACACCAGCATCCATCGACCATTCACCATCATCATCAGGCCTGAATATGGGAGTCCTATCAGGCGGGAGCCCCGTCTGTGAGTGAATTGTGAGGAAGTCTCAGGCGGGAGCCCCTTCTTTCAGGGGCCCGCAGATTATGTTATTAATCCGAGGCGGGTCATACAATTGTTGTAAACCTCGTCACTTTTGGGCTGTTCAGGCCTGAGTATGGAGGAAGTAGCAGGCGGGAGCCTAGTTTGTGAGTCAATTGTGAGGAAGTCTCAGGCGGCAGCCCCCTCCTTAAGGGACCCAGACTTCATGTTCGAGCCCGGGGATCTTCTGATCACGTTCTTGAGCTGCACGCGCGAGGGCAAGCCCTTCCCGCCGGAGGTCTGGTCCGCCTGGGAGAAGACGTTGGCCTCTGACAACCACGGCGTCTTGGACCTTCGGCACCAGCACGAAAACTTTCGGTTCGGCTACGGCATGGCCATATACTGGGAGACCTTGGCAAGGTGGATCAATGCGCGCGCACGTCGCGACGCACGGCGCCTGGGCGTGCCCTTCGTTTTCTTGCAGGCCGTGGACGAGTGCAGCTCGATTCAGGGCGATCCCGACGCGGGTCGGCGCCTCCTGAACGTCCCAAACATGCACAAGACGGGGGACATCCGTGCCGGCCCACATCGGCATGGAAGTGCTATTCACGGCCGCGCAGGAAGAGCTGATTCAGAAGTTGGGACTCGTGCAGGAGCAACGGGCAACAACTGCGTCTCTCGAATTCCACAGCGAGGACGAGCAGCGGCACGAGGAGCGCTCGGCAGACCAGCTCTTTCGCCCCCGCTTCCCACCGCAGGGGATCTGGCAGCATGTGCATGGCTTCAAGGAGTCTCCGCTCTACCAGGAGGTCGCCGACATGCTGCGACAGGGCGCCGAAGACGCCGACGACGACGGCCAAGCCGAGGCGCGGGCGCGGAGTTTGCTGATGTTCAGGCCCAGCGAGCAGGAGGTCAAGTGGCAGAGCTCGGGGCCGCGCACCGCGCGCCGCTCGGGGTTCAGCCTGGCGCACGCGCCCGACTTGTTTATCTGACCTCAACGCTGTCGCAGGGCCAGACGCTGCGCAAGGGCGCCACCGTCGACTGCGCGAGAGACGAGGACGCTGGCCGCACGGGCGCGTCGGACGAGCAGCGGTGGCTGCACCTTTACGTCACGTTCTCCCGCGCCACGCGCATGCGGAACATCTTGATCCTGCGGCCACCGCCGCGAGAGTTCCTGGAGCGAGGGCCGCCAGAGTCCTTGCGGAAGGCGCTCGAGGAGTTCGACAAGAGAGCGGGGCGTTCCAGGGCGGAGACGGAGCAGCTCGCGGCAGAGCTGAGCTTCGCGCTGCCTCCCGCCTGAGCGCGGCTGCGCCCCGCTCGAAGCCCGCGGGGTTGTCCCAGCGGTTTGGTATTGCGCGCCAGCGGCTCGCGCGGTTGCCCCGACGTCCTGGCCCGCGGGGTTGCCCCAACGGCTGCGCGACATGGCAATTCGAGAACGCGCCCGTGCTGGCGGAGGCGGCGACGGCGCCGAGGAACATCAACATGTGCGCTAATGCAGTAGCAAGGAGAGGAGGTGGCGGTGCGCGAAAAAACAGGGGGGCGAGGATGGGGGAAACGTAGGGGGCGGGAAAAGGGTCTGCGCCAAGGCGGCAAGCAATCTACGCAGAAGAGACAGTAACGATGCCTCACCAATCACGAGGCCGATGGTGAGGGCATTTTCCAGATTAGCCGAGAGGAGTATCATGCGGGGTCTTTCCGTTGGAGTAATTTTATGTGGATCACTGCTGGCACGGCTCCCGCGGGGACGCAACAGCAGGTGGAGAGGGGAGGCCGAGCCGAAAAAAGGTTCCCGGTAGCCGAAATCCACCTCGACGATGCCCAGGGCGGACGGACTTGGTATGACGAAGCACATGCCCTTCGCTTCTGGGAAGAACTTCTCGCAAGCCAGCCGAATATATGATGTCGACGTGCCCATGGCCTCCAAGTTCGCCTTGACGCGCTCGTAGAGCTCGTCCTTGCTGACCCTGCCGCCCATGAGCTGCTCCACAGACTCGACCAGGAACGGGGGCTCCAGGCCTAAGTCGTTGACTTCGCTCGGTGCTGTATCCCGCCCGCCGTCTTGATCACGATCACCTCCTGCATACGTACTCTTTGAAGGGAACCACCACGACCACCGCCATCCGCACCATCGGTGGAGCCACCACCGCGTTCACGACGGTATTGATCGTGCAATTTCCCTCCACGATCTTTAGGAGGCTGCTCATGGTCGGCTTCTCGGCGGACGCTTGCCGCACTGCCAAGCCGCAAGCCAGGCAACGCAGGATCTCCAAGGCCATCCGATCCCGCAGCACCACCACCTTGGTCAACTGATGCCCCTTCTTCCTGCTCAAGAACCGAATCCAATTCGTAGAACTCGCAGCGGCTGCCTTCCCCAGCGCGTGCCGACGCCCTCAGCTGCTGCTCCAAAATTTTCAGCTCCTCAATATTATTCCGTTCCTGTTTCTTCTTCTCATTCTTCCTCCCCTCGCGCTTCTGACGTCGCGCACGCCTCCTCTCCTAAAGCTCCTCCGTCGTGAACTACTTCCTGAATTGCTGCGTCACGCCGCCTTCGGTGTTGCCGCCGTCGTCGTCGACCTGGAGTCCGCACAGTACGCCTCGGCGGCGGAGGCGGTGGATGTGGCGGAGTGGTCGGACTCGTTATCGCGCTAGCGCGCCCAAGATTTGCCGCGCTCCTGTGCAAGATGTGCGCGTATCGGTCCTTCAGGAAGATGCTTGGAGGCGTCGGCGTCGGAGCCTGCACCGTCACCTTCCTCGGCACCCCCATCGCCGCCCACGCGCGGGAGGAGAGCGACTCTTCTTGCCCTTGCAGAACTTGAATTTGTGCTTGAACATCTTGCCCTTGCCGTTGCCCTTGCCCCTGAACTGCCGATTCAGGCGAGATGACTTGGACTTGGGCTTGTTCTTCACGAGGGCAGGCGCCGTCGCTGCAGGCGGTGGGGGCGTAGGCGGAGGCGGCGGAGGACACCGCGGCGCAACCCTGCCAGCCGACATGATCTCCGTACCAGCAGCCAGGAGCCGTGGGGAAAGGGGCGACTGCCGTCGGCACACCTTGCGCACCCCCAGATGGGTCTTCACAAGGAAAGCCATGGGCCCTCGCAAACAGATGATCGGCTTGCACTCCGCTGACGATGAGGACGTCGCCGTGGAAGAACTTGAGCTGCTCAATGAGCTCGGGCGTGGCCAGCAGGGGGAGAGTGAGGGGGGAGAGATGGAATGAGCAGGGAATGGAATGGTAGTGGGGAGCGGGGGGAAACGCTTCGCAGCGGGGGACAAGCGAGGAGGGCAGGGAACAGGGGAGGGGCATGGTGCCTTGCTGCGCTGCCCTAGCCTCTCCGACGCCGAGGTCAGAGGAAGAGGTCATCAAGCTCGGCTTTTTCAAGTTCCGCGTCCGCCAGGCTATCCCTCGCCCACCCCCATCCCATCGAGCTCGGTTTCGCTCGTCCACGTTGTATTCCTCATAGTCCGCTTCCCCCTCATCCGTTCCGTTCTCCTCCCTGCCCTCATTCTCGGTTCTCCTCCCCCGCCACATTCCCATCATGAGGTATGTTCCTCGGGTCCTCCCTCTACTCGTACGTGTGACCCTCAGCATCAACACCCATATTCGACCACTTCTTCCCCTTCCTCCTTCATCCCGCGTCCTCATTATCTCCTCCCCCTCATCCTTGTCCCCCCGCCGCCCCAAAACATCTTCCTCATCCCTGCCCTCCTTCGCTCATCACTCCTCGGCCTCCTCCTTTTCCTCTTCATACTCCCCCCCATCCTGATCATCTTCCTCCTCTCCCGTCTCTCATTCCCTTCCCTTCACCCTCCCACTGTGGTCACGACGGCCACGCGGCCGACGACGACGACGACGACAGTGACGACAACGACAGCCTTGCGAACCTTGCCATGGGGCCTTGGGTGGAGCCCCCTATGGGACCTCAAAACGCGTGAGGGTGTGCCGTATTGTGCGGGGGAGACGCATGCGAGCCCTGCCACCGTGGCCCTGGGTGGATCTCCCTGTGGAGCAAAAGCGTGTGAGTGTGTGTGTGCGTCGTAATAGGAGTGGGAGACGCATGCGAACCCTGCAAGTGGGGCGGTGGGTGGAGCTCTCTATGAGGCCACGAAGCGTGCAAGTGGCGTGACGTAATGGGCGGGGGAGCGCATGCGAACCTTGCCACGGTTGCCCTGGGTGGAGTTCCCTATGGGACCACGAAACGTGTGAGGGATGTGCCGACATTGTCGTGTGGAGGGCAGAGGCAGGGATGGGAGGAGGGAGGAGGGGGGGAGGAGAGGAAAGGGAGGACGCGGGGCCGCGGGGCATTGTCTTTTCGCAACTAGGACCCAACATCACAGGATGGTGGGAGAACTTGCAGCACTTCAGAAATCACGACCAGAGCCCTAGACCCCACCTGTCCGCTGCATTTTTTGTCGAGGACCGATCTGTGAGGGTCCGGGGGCCCGAAAGCTGGCGAACACCGAAACAATTGCAACGCCCAATTCGAAACAGAGCAGCGCCCGCATCGGAAATGAACGCAACAGCCGGCTTCGCCTTCACCTCAGCGCGCGGCTCGGCACACGACTCGGGGAACAACACATTTATATGCATGAGCTTTCGAAGGCCCGTGCTGATCTGTTGGATCGGCGCTGGGCCCTCCTCCCCGGCGCGCGGAGCGAGGCAGGGCCGGCGGCCGGAGGTGCCGCCAGGGATTCCAGCGCCGATCCGAGAAATCCGCGTGGACCTCCGAAAGTTTACGGATATTCCATTACAGTCACGACGCTGTAATGAGGACGCTTTTGGCGTAGGATGGGCTCGCGTTTTCGGGTGGAGCCTGCTTGGGTCCTATCGGGTTGGGCGAAAGGGGGGGATTGGGAAAGGGGGGGGTACGAAATTTGCTGCATGCAGCTGGTTTCGGCCTCACCGAGGGGCCCATTCCTCGATACATAGCCGCCTCCGGCGCCGGGAGGCGCCGGGAAAATCAGCTACGTGAGCTCATTCTCAACCCCCCCTTTGCTATCCCCCCCTTTCGCCCGACCCGATCCTAGGCCCGTCATGACCAGACTAGCATGTCGCTCCTTAGAATGCGTTCCTCCCGGTAGCACGATGACCGTATATGCCCCCGAAACACTGAAAGGAGGTGGAGGGCCGGGCGGGCGCTGGCCCTGTCGGCACACGGCCAGGCCTCTGCGAGGCACTGGCGAGGTTCCCCAGCTGCCGCCAGCCTCGGCCCTGGCCCGGGGCGGCGTCGACCGCAGCGCCGCTCCGACGGATCGGCTGAGGGTAAGACTGACCCTCGGAGATCCATCGTCACCACGCCTGGATTCTCCTCCAAGTTCTGGTCAGAACGCAGCCCGAGAGAGGAGCGGGGAGTGGTGGTATTGGTATGTGTGCGCTCGCCCAGACCATTCGCTGGAGAAATACTTTGTGCGGGCCCACAGGGTTCCCCCGGCAGTGGCCGACGCGTCGGGGTTTGGTCTTTCCCGCTGCTCCTCGAGATGCGCAAGGCCAATCTTGCCTGGGGCTACCCTTGCCCGTCACTGAACGGAGGAGAACAGGGATGAGGAGGAGGAGGAGGAATATGGGGAGGAGGAGGATGCCACGCGTTTTACATTCCCCTCCGCGCCCGCCCATCGCGACCCCAGCTGGTAGCTTCCGCTGATGACGGGGCGCAGCCTGATCTGAGGAGCCCCCTCGTTTATCCCGCTTCTTGTTTTGTGTTTTCTCTTTTCCTCTGTCTTGCTATCTCTCTTGTTGTTTGTGTGTGTGTGTGTGTGCTCATTCTCTCTCTCTCTCTCTCTCGAACTATGTATGTAATATGTATATATATATATATATGTATATGTACACATAAATGTATGCGTTCTTAGTTGTTCTCTCCTATCTCTCTGTATCTCTCTCTCTCTCTCTCTCTTTCTCTTCATACTTACACGCAGATGGGTACGCAAGCCGGCCTGGACCCCAGGCAGCGTCGATCTTACAATCTTCGTGGTGCTACTAGTGTGGAGCAACTAAACCATGTTCACCAGTGAGTTGTCAACTCCACTGCTCGTGGAATCTGCCCACCACCACCCGCAACTCGATTTGCCAAACCCATGAAGCGCCAATTGTGATGCCTGCGTGGCGCTGGCTGGCGCATCGCCGCGGCCGCGGTGGTGCGCGCAGGCTCGCGGGCAGAGCGGCCAGTCAATCTGGAGCGACCGGCGCGGATCCCGTCTCCCTGCCCGCTGTGGATTTCCCAGCGCGTAGCGGGAGTCGGTGATTCGGGCGGGCGCATAGTTATGGCGGCGTCGACAATGGCAGACACGATGATGATAGCAGCGCTGCTAGTGGGTGACGATGATGACGATGACGACGGCAATGCAAATGACGGCGCCGATGCTGATTACGCCGGTGACGATGATGGTGCCCATGCGTCGGCGATGAAGGTTTTGAAAGGATTTCGACATGCGCGCGCTGCCGACGGCCGCGAATGGCTCGCATGTTATGATTTGACAGGAGTCGTCCCCGCCCCCAAGCACCTGCTGATAGGTGTTCGAATGATTTGGATTTGCTCGCGCGAGAAGCCGATTGGCTCGCGCGAGACTGCGCGAGACTGCAGTCCTTAACGGGCGGGTCGGGGCCAGCCCGCCCGACCCGCCCGTTCAGGGATGCAGTTTTCTCTTGCTGCCCTTCGCCCGCTGTCGATGCCCCTCGGTGCCCGTAGTGGTTCCGCACGCTCGCTCGCGTCCTTTGTGGCCCCGTTGCTGCCCTCAGTGGCCCCCTTGTGTGGCCTGGCATTTTATGCCTTCGTGGCCTCCGCTCGCACGCGCCCGTCGTGGCCCGTATGCATGCCCGCTCGCACGCTGCCCTCAGTGGCCCCGCTGTCGCCCCTTCTGGCCCCATCTATGTATGCCCTTCGTAGCCCCCGCTCGCTCGCGCCCTTGGTGGCCCCATTGTTGCCCTTCGTGGCCCCGCTGTCGCCCTTTTGTGGCCCCCTCGCTGCCTTTCCTGGCCCCGTTGCTACCCTCAACCGCCTCTTTGCTGCCCTCAGTGGCTGTCCTTCGTGCCCCCTCGCTTGCGCCATTAGTGGCCCCATATGCATGCCCATCGTGTCCCCGCTGTCGCCCTTTGTGGTCCCCTCGCTGCCCTTCTCGGCCCCATTACTGCCCTTCGTGGCCTCGCTGTCGCCATTTGTCGCCCCATACGCGTATGCCCTTCGTGGCCCCCGCTCGCTCGCGCTCTTTGTGGCCCCATGTCTGCCCTTCGTGGCCGCGTTGTCGCCCTTTTGTGACCCCCTCGCTACCCTTCCTGGACCCGTTGCTATCCTCAGTGGCCCCGTCGCTGCCCTCAGTGGCCTTGCATTATGTGCCCTTCGTGGCCCTCCCTCCCCCACGTGGTCTATCCTTTTCCCTCCCCCGTGTCCCTTGCTTCCATCCGTCCTCTCTTCCCCCGTGCCTCACGGGCTGCACGAAATACACGTTGCAGGCAAGAAAGACACACCCCTACTGGGGGACGATCGAAGGCGAAGAGGGCGGGTATCGAGAATTTGGGGTATACGTGTTGAGTGGCACGCGAGCAAACAATAGCGAACAGTCTTAACGTAGTTGTTGTCGTCGTTGTTGTCGTTGTTGCTGCTGTTGCTGTTGTTGTTGGTGCTGGTGTTGGCCTTGGTGTTGGTGTTGGTGGTGGTGTTGGTGCTGTGGTTGTTGTTGTTGTTGTTGAACATTATTACTTCTAAAGAATAATTATTGTTGGGACCCCTGGTGCACGGCCCCCTCGCCGCGCCTAGGCCGCAGCCACATTTTCATCATTTTCGTGAGGAAGTCTCAGGCAAAACGATGTGATCCAGATCCGGTTGTTTTGTTACGATCGGTTTTCCCTTGCAAAAAATAAGCTAAAGTGGACATTTCTTGTTCTAACATAACCAAACTTCAAGAATCCCTTGCAAAAAATAAGGTAAAGTGGACATTCGCGCGCGCAAGACGAAATCCTTCCAAAACCTTAGTGTTCGTAGCGATTTTAACATAAAAACATCAAAAAACCAATGGTTTTTCAACAAAAAAATGTCAAAATCTCATCCCGCGCGCTCTTGCGGATTCGTAGGAAACCCAACACTTTTTAAACATTTCTGTCAAACGGGCTTTTGCGAGCAACTTTTTCGAACTTCTGCAACAACGGTTGCGCACCTGCCAGGGCCATCATCCCTGTCAAATAATACCATGCGGGACACATTCGTTTTTTCTTCGCGCGCGCACGCCGTCGTCGTCGGCCGCGGGGCCCTGAATAGTAGCCACGGTCGTCCGCATGCCACGAAGTGAAGTGTCCGAACGTCATAGGGCGGGAAGCTGGGTGTGGGTGGTGGCGAAGAGTCGTTTGGAAATTTGGTAGAGCTTGAACCGGCCCCCCCACAAAGTGGGGGTATTGCCCGCCTCCTATGAAAACCTTGGCACTGGTGAGAACGGAGTGTCCCCACGTGCTAGTAATTGTTGTTGTTGTTGTTGTTGTTGGTGTTGGTGTTGGTGTCGGTGTTGATGCGGTTGAACTGTCACTTTTGAAGGTCCATCATTGTTGATCCCCCCTCCGGTAACCATCGCGTTGTTCAATTGAAGTGCTTCCCCCGGGGCTCGCACCCTGATTTTAAACAGGGAAATTTACTAGGCTCGAGCTGCGCCCCTGACCCAGCAGTTACAGCAACAACGGCCCCCGCTTGAGACTTCCTCACAACTTTGCCAGGACCCCGCTCCCGCCTGAGACTTCTTTTCATTTTACTCAGGAATCACGCTCTCGCCTGGGACATCCTTGTAATTTATTCCGGAATCGCTCTCTCGGCCCTCTAGAGTCGCGCTCTCGCTGGAGACTTGTTTGCAATTTACTCTCGAGTCGCGCTCTTGTGTTGGAATGGCCTGCAATTTTATCAAGCGCCGCGCTCCCGAAACTCAGGCACCCAGAAGTCGCGCTCAAGTTCAGGACTCCTTCACAGCTTACTTAGGAATCGGGATCTCGCTGCCCTTCGTGGCCTCGTTGCAGCCCTTCGTGGCCCCCTCGCTGCCCTTCGTGGCCCCGTTGCAGCCCTTCGTGGCCCCCTCGCTGCCCCTCGTGGCCACGTTGCAGCCCTTCGTGGCCCCCTGCTGGCCCTTCATGGCCCCGTTGCAGCCCGTCGTGGCCCCCTCGCTGCCCGTCGTGGCCCCGTTGCAGCCCTTCGTGGCCCCCTCGTTGCCCTTCGTGGCCCCATATACGTATGCCCTTCGATGCCCCCGTTCGTTCGGGCCCGTCGTGGCTCCATATGCATGCGCTTTGTGGCCCCGCTATCGCTTTTCGTGGCCCCCTCGCTGCCCATCGTGGCCCCGTTGTGGCCTTCAGTAGCCCCGTCCTTCTTGCCCTCTGAGACCCTATACATGTATGCCCTTCGTGTCCCCCTCTCGTTCGCGCTGGTCGTGGCCCCATATGCCTGCCCTTCGTGGCCCCGCTGTCGCCCTTTGTCGCCCCCTCGCTGTCCTACGTGGCCCCGTTGCTACCCACACTGGCCCCGTCGTTGCCCCCTGTGGCCCCGCATTATCTGCCCTTCGTGGCCCCCGTTCGTTCGCGCCCTTCGTGGCCCCATACGCATGCCGCTCGTGGCCCCGCTGTCGCTTTTCGTGGCCCTCCTCCTGCCCTTCGTGGCCCGGCTGTCGCTCTCGCTCTCGCTTTCGCTCGTCGTCGCCGTCGTCATTGTCGTCGTCGTCGTCGTCGTCGTCGTGGTCGGTCCCCTGTCAGTCCCTCTTGTGGTCGGGTTGCCGCCGAATTGCCGCTGGCCAAGCCAACGGTCCGCGGCCGCGCCGCCGCTTGCCGGGCCACCCCCTGCAGGAAAGAAAGATCACCCCCCCTGCGGGTATCGAGAGTTGGGGGAATTCACGATGAATGACACTCGAGCAGATAAGAGCGAACAGTCTTACAGTGATTGTTGTTATTGTTGCTGCTGCTGCTGTAGCTGTTGCTGTTGTTGTTGCTGTTGCTGTGGCTGTTGTTTGTGTTGTTGGTGTTGTTGTTGCTCGGGGCCGAACTGCCCAGTTTGGTGACACCAGGCTTCCCCTGAGAAGAAATCAGGGTGCGAGCCCCGAGAGGGGGCACTTCAATTGAAAGAGGGGGGATTCACAACATTTGTTCTTAAGGCATGAGAGCTCGATCCGCACCGCAGAACCTCACTTCAGCCACGCGCCCATGGACAGTGAATGACCGTTCGGCGCCCTCACTCTGATTTTTGTTCTCTCGCTGGGGCCTTTTTGGACCCTCTGACCCCTCGCAGCCCCCCCCCCGTCCAGGCCCAGGGGGAGGGGGTGATGGGAGTGGTTAAGACACCTCCTGCTCACAAGGCACAAGCCGTCTGGCTCACTCCCACCCGCACTCCCAACACGTAGATAGCAACCGATAATCCCGTTCAAAAGCCAATGCAAAGTGGAAGCATCATGCCTTTTGTATTGTAAGTTGACGAGGGTGGTTGGCCGGCGCGCCCTGGAAGCAATTTGAGGGCAACCCCGCCGTCCTTGTCAAAAGTGGTTGCGGGGCGCCCGCGCATGCTCCAGATTCAGAGACAAAATATATGTTGTATTGTTTCGGGATGGTTGGCTTAAGCGCAGCAGGCAATATGAGGGCAAACCCGCCGTCTCTGTCAACAACGAATGCAAAGTGGTCGCGGGGCGCCCGCGCATGCTCCAGACTCGGAGGCACCGGGGATGTCTGGGTGGCTCTTGGCCTGGGTCTGGGTTGGCTGCCGGTCGCCTGGGGTAGAGGGTGTTCATGAACAGGTATTAGTGATCTAGCTACCCTCAAGCAACAAGCCGTCTCGCTCGTTCCCACCCGCCCTCCTAGCACAGAAGTAGCACCCGATAGAGTCTCAGTTTGGAAAAGGGCCGCCATCGCCAACCATCGGGAGCCGATGCAGACTCCAGTCAAGTGCGCGAAGCCCGCGAGGTGCGCCGCACATGTCGGCACGCGCGCCAGGAGCGGCACAATGGGCAAGACGTCGACCGTCCCGCCGTCCGTGTCAAAAACCGATGCAAAGTGACAGCGGGCTCGTTGTGTGCTGGTGTTCTTGTTGACAGTGATGGTGGGGCCTGCGCACACCAGGCAGTATGCCGCCCCCCCTCCGCCGTCCTTGGAAAAACGATGCTGATTCATTTCTTTCCGAACGGATGATGGGCCTGCACACAGCAGGCAATATGCCGGCACCCTCGCCACCCCTGTCAAAAATCGAATGCCATGTAAGCACGAGGTGTCCGCGCATGATCCAGAGTTAGGTGCATAGTGCCTTTTGCATTGTGTTTGGAAGGATGGTTGGGAGGTGTGGGCATAGCACACAGCAAGCAATGCGATGCCGCCCCCGCCGTCCCTGTCAAAAACGGATGCAAAGTGATCGCGGGGTGTCCGCGCATGATCCAGATGTTGTGAGGGGGGTGTTGCCCTTCAAGCAATATACTGGCACCTCCACCGTCGAAGTCAGCGAAACAATGAAGAGTGTGCGGTTGTCGCCCGCGCATGCTCCAGATCGGGAGGCAAGTGTATTGTATACTGTTGAGAACGAAGAGCAGTAGTAACGGATTGAGAATGCTGGATGGGGAAAAGGAGGGGAGCACGATGTGGACGTTGAGGACGATGAGAAGGAGGAACAGGACAAGGCAGGGAAGAAGGGGGAAGACGATGGGCACAGACGAGAATTGAGAGAACGAGCAGGGGAAGCAAAGGAGAATGGAGGAGGACCCAGAGAAGGAGAAAAAGGAGGAGAAGGAGGATACTTTTGCTCAGGCTGGCCTCAGGGATACTTGTGCAACTTCGATCCCCAACGGAGCCTGCAAGCACTGCGGGATGGTCTGACGCGTGCGGGTGTAGCGCCCCCAGAGGCCGAAGAAGCACGAACAACGTCAGGACCACTTCCAAGGGCGCCCTCGAGGGCGCAAAGTTAGTCGCGCTTCGCGGTTCGGCTCCAATTCCTCCTCATCCTCCTCTTCTCCCCTGGGGAGCGACGCGAGAGCGCGAAGTTATTCGCGCTTCGTGCAGCGCGAAGCGCGAAGTTAGTGTCTTCTCCCTCCGGATTATTCCTTTCCTCACGGCGGCCCCGCGCACCTCCCCAGGATGAACTCGCCGGAGCTCGACCGGTCGGACATCGACATGGACGAGGTGCAGGCCCGCCCGGGCGGGCCGCCGCGCGGCAGCCTCGTTCTTTGCTTCGTCTTCGTCGTCGTCGTCGCCGTTTTCGTCATCCTGCTTGTTTGCGTCATCGTCTTTATCGCCTTCGCCCTTGTCTTCTTCATCATCATCGTCGTCGGCGGCGTCCTTCCGCTTCTGTGAGATGTCCTCTGCCTATCTATTGCCCCTCTTCCTAACATGATATATGAAGTGCAGTGGTCCTGTAAAAAGGGGGTCCTGGATGTGGTTGCCGCCCCTTCCCCTGGTCCATGCATGGACAGTCAAGACACAACCCAGGATGAATTCACAGTCCTCGGGCCTGGGGAAAGCCTCGGGGCCCACGACCCGTTTCCTCTGGGACTTTTTCTGAGGCCAGATGTGTTCGACCTCGTGCCGCCTCCTCATCTTCTTGCTCCTGGTCTTCTCCGGGCATCCAGGACAAATCTCGAAAGCGGCTCTGGTTTTCGGGCCGCTCCTTAGATCAAGGCCGGGGAGCCCACTCGCGGTCGAGACCCCCTGTGGCCAGAACAGTCCCTTCGTTCCTCAGTCAGCGCCCCTTGTTGTAGCAAGTGTGAAGAGTGCACTCCCCTGCCCCTCTGCCGCCCGTGCCACTGTGTGTGCATGATGTACACGCTTGTCTTGTTTTGTGGCATGCACGCTGCCCGCCGTTGTTTTGGCCCTAGTCCTAGGGCCCTGGGACGCACCCGCAGTTTTGACTGCCGCGCAGTCCGAGCTAAAAGAACTGCACTGACATTGGTAGCGGAGCTTGTAAGCTCCAGCGGACGCACTGCGTGCTCTGCTTTGGTGGTCGTGACCACCTGCGTGGGCCGCCATGGCAGCTAGCCAAGACGGCTCAGATGCGGAGGCTGCGTCCTCTGCTGGCACAGGTCCCCCGGACCTGCATGCAGTCCTGCGCGTAATGGCCGAGACCCAGCGGAAGCTCTTGGCCTTACATCGGGATCGTGGTGGCGACGGCGGTCCCAGACGTACACGTCTACTGCTGTCGCAGGTGAAGCTCCCAGAGTTCGATGGTGCGGTCGGTACGAGTACAAAGAAGTACCGAGAGTGGCGCAAGGAGGTTGAAGTCATCCGCAACCTCAACCAGCTCTCAGATGTGGAGCTGGGCCTGATCATCTACAGTCAAGTGACAGGTCGAGCCAAGGAGCTCATCGAGGTGCTTGATGCGTCGGACCTCCGACGCGAGGATACGCTTGAGACCATCTTTGCTATCTACGACGACGCCTTCGAGAAGATTGATCACGAGCGCCTCGATCAGGTGCATCAGGAGTGGGAGCGAGCACACCGTCGAGCTGGGCAGCCCATCGTGGATTGGACCACGTACTTGCGCAAGAAGCGCATGGAGTTGCAGCTCGAGGGTCCTACTTCAGCGATCAGCGATCGCGCGCTGGCAAGCAAGATGCTTCGTGGCGCTGGACTGTCGCAGAAGGAGCGAGCGCAGGTGCTCTTCAACTGTGGCGGTATCTACGACTCGAAGCGGATGGAGGTCGTGCTGAAGGCAGCCTACTCGAAGGTGCACGACACCGAGAAGCGCTCGGTGCTCCCTCGCCGCTCGCCGTTTGCGGCGCAGCGTGAGCACGGACGCTCCTCCGGGAGTTCGGGCGGTCGCTATCCGCACCCTCCCATGGCTCGCAGGCCATACGTGCTGCGAGGACGCTCTGGCCAGCATGTGCACGAGGTAGAGAACGGTGAAGACTACGATGAACACCACGGCGACCTGGAGGAGGCGCAGCTCGACGAAGATGAAGCAGATGAACAGGACGATGGAGACCCCGGAGCTGGCGAGGGGATCATCTTCGAGGAAGGCGCCGAGGTCGAAGAGGAGCTGGCGTCGGACAACGACGGGCCAGATGACGAGGAGTACGAGGCACCGGAGGATCTTCAGGAAGCGTTCTTGGCCGGCTGGAGGGCCAAGCAGAAGACGGCAGTACAGCGTCAGAAGCGCGGGTTCGTTGCCCCTCGGCAGCGTGACTCCAAGAAGATCAACGCCAGCGGCTCCTTCCAGGCTGGTCGGAAGCCGACGGACCAGCGTAAGGCTAACAGCCGGTGTGCTGACTGCGATCAGCCCGGCCACTGGCGTGGCGACCCGGAGCGCCCCAAGGTGAAGAGTGGCGAGCGCGAGCCGCACAACAAGATCGGGCCTAAGAGTGGCCAGCCAGCGTCGCCCAACCAGCGGAGCTCTGTGAAGCCGCCGGCGCCAAGGCAGGTGCATGGACCGATCGTCCACTGGGTTGGCATGGCAGGTAGTGCCGAGGAGCGTCGTGGCCGCGCTCCATGGCGCCGTGCTCCCCAGTCGGTGCCTGCCCAGAGGCATCCGGTGGAGGGTCGAGCTGATGCTCCAGGGCGGATCATCATGCATCCCAGGCCCAAGAGCACGCCTGCGCCGAGCCTACGCCGGGACGCCGACGATGGCCCAGGGCCCGCACAGAGCAGTGATGAACGCGCGCGCGCCCGTGCCAGGCGCGGGGAGGATCAGGAGGACGAGGATGCATGTGTGCGTTGCCATCGCATTCTGGCCAACACCCACCCAAAGGGGCACAGCGTGGAGTTGGAGTTTCCTGACCTTGCCACGGTCCATCACATCGTGGAGCGCGTGACGAACAAGAAGCCTATCTTCTTCAAGCAAGGCCGTTTCGAGAGCCTCGACTTCGTCCAGGGTCGGCTTGTGCGTCTGCAGCTGACCACGTCGAGGCCTTGCACGGCGGCTGAGGTGGACCTCGACGAGATCACGGCAACTATGTTCAAGATCGTGATGGGTGGCAATCGTGATACCAAGCCCCGTGGCGATCGGCGCGGTGAAGGCGGGAGTCGTGACGCCAAGCAGCGTGAAGATCATCATCGAGATCGTCGTGACGACCGCCAGCGTGATCGGGGAGTTGTTTTCCGTGAGCCCCGTGCCCCTCCTCCGCCCGAGGCGGAGGCCTCCTCGCGTTCAAGGTCGCGGAGTGCACCAGAAGGCCGCGGTGTGAAGGAAGAGAAGCGGAGTCCACCAGAAGACCGCGGTGAGAAGGAAGAGAAGGAAGAAAAGAAAGAGAAGAAGAAGAAGAAGGCGAGGAGCAGTAAAGAAGAGAAGAAAGAGAGAAAGAAGGCAAGAAGCAGCAAGGAAGTGAAGAAGGAGGATGAGGCCAGCGAGGAGGATGAGGCCAGCGAGGGCGACAACGATCAGCGGCGCGAGGATAAGGAGGTGCCGTTCACGCCAGAGGAGATGGACGAGATCTTCTGCAGCTGGCATCCGCGTCAGGACATCTTTAGGGATTGCCTGGCGCCGCCGGCAACCATCCACTTCATCACTAAGAACGACCGTATCGTGCGCCTCAATCTCTACACGCGCCGCTGCGAGAAGCCGGACTTCTCTCTAGCCAGCGGCCCTGCGAGGGCCCATCCTGTATACGCGGTGGATACCGCAGCGGCGGCGTCGGCGAAGGGAGCATTGAAGACTAACGGATCCCCAGACGGAGCTGCGCCTGGACTAACGTCTGCCGCTCCGACTGGGGAGGCCGCCGCTGTTCCTAAGGACGAGGACTGGGTCATGGCAGGAGCCTCCGAGGAAGTGAGAAAGGGCGAGGAAAAGAAGCGACTAGAGGTCTTGCAGCGTGACAAAACTGAGTTGCTGGATCGCCTCGCGCTGATAGAGAAACAGGAGATGGAGATGCACGCCCGATTGAACCCAGGCGAGGTCTACGACGGCCTGCAGAAGCGACGTGAGCAGGCACCTCTGCCAGAGCGTGTCCTGGTCACATCTCCTGAGCAGCAGGGAGTCGGAAGCGTGTGGAAGAACATGGAGGGAATACGACGACGTGTCCATCTTCCCGCGCCTCCAGGAGCCGCGAGCTCAGGTGCCCCTGCCGCTGCGACGGCATCTCCAGCTGCATCTGGAGTCCCGCGCGTAGTCACCGCCTCTGGACGGAGCTACGTCATGAGTGTCGGTGCCACGCAGAGCGACCTGGAGAAGCAGCAGATGCACCGAGCCATGTACGACTCGCAGTTCGACGGCGAGAGGCTGGTCCCAGGTCCGAAGGCGAAGTTCGACCCAGAGCCCATGCAGCAGCAGGCTGCGCGTGTTCATCCTGTGGGCGAGTTGAAGTGGCAGTCAAACGGCACCGTGATCTTCGCGAAGTGCAAGAAGTGTTCGTTGAAGTCGGTGATCCATTACACGCTGGAGAAGCCCAAGACGGATGAGGGGGAACCTCCCAGGAACACCCCAGACGGAGCTGTGCCAGGACTAACGTCTGCCGCTCCGACTGGGGAGGACGTCGCCGTCAAAAGGGGCGCGGGCCCCTGGGCAGCAAAGGGCGCAGACCCTTGGGCAGCAAAGGGGGGATCTGCGGCCCACATGGTCACTACCCGAGAGGAGTGCCCTCGCAAGGTGGTAGATGAGCAGTCCGTCATGCTTGTTGTCTTGCCCGCGGGGCTGGCTATGATTGACACGGGCTGCAAGCGGGCTGTCGGTGGACGTCCGTGGCACGTCGAGCTGCAGAAGACCTTGGATGCCATGGGCGTGCCGTGCCACAGCATCAACCAGCGCGAGTACTTCAAGTTCGGCCCAGGCGTGCCGCTCTTGTCAGAGCGTGCGTGGTGCTACATAGTCGGCATCAATGGTACGCAGGGCGAGGTTGTGATCTCCGAGGTCGATGCCGAGGTGCCAGGTCTCATCGGTCCTGATGAGATGGCAGAGTGGGACGCAGCAGTCAGCTTCAGGAACGGTACTTTCACGGCGAACGGTGTGACCAAGCCGCTGGTCCCGGCTGCGTCCGGGCATCCGTGCGCGTCATTGCTGGATTTCCCGGTTCCGGTCGTGAGTGCTTTCCCCGTCGGACAGTCCGAGGAGCAGGACGAGCTCGCAGACGAGATGTTCAGCGGAACTGCGAGCCACGAAGAGAAGGATGAGCGCAGCGTCGCTGAGACCGTCGAGGAGGAGGACACGCACGATTCTGACAGCAACGACGGCCAGGACGTAGGCGACTCAGAGCTGAGTGCAT